GGGAAATACAGAATTTAGAAAATGACATACACTACCATCCAGTAATAGGGAAACCTAAGAACTCACAACGCTTTAAAAGATGCAAGTCTCTTACTTGTGAATGTTCTTGAGATAGGCGTTATTCACATGGAATAAAAAGTACTCCCTTTTCCTCATCTAAACCTGACTTGAAGAACATGCTGCTTCTCTACTTTACCCCAAATTATCGTGGTACCTGGCAACAAAAGGGAGAATTACTGATGCAGTTCCAGGGAAATGAAGATGTGGTTAACAAAATGAACGATAGGGGATGGATGCAGGGACACAGGTGAGAAAAATGAGATCCTTGCTTATTTTTTCCCCCAATGAAAACTTTTTAACTATTTAACTGATTTAAAAATAGTGCTCAGTGAAAAAACCTCAGACAACACAAAGATTCTGAAATGCCTCCCGGTTCTAAATTTCAGAGGTAATGATATAGAATACCTTAGCCCTCTTAGGCTTATTATACCTGTTTAGTGAGAAAGGATCATTCATGTTATGAAATTTTAATAAGTATTGTGCTTCATTTTGTATAAATACTAGGTTCTAGTCATTTTTTAGTGAGTGTGTGTGTGTGTGTTTCTATACTGGGGATCAAACTCAGGGCCTTGCACTTGCTAGGCAGGCACAGGGCCAATATACTTTGGTAGATAAAACAGATAAACAGTACTATCTGTCTTCAGAGTTAACATAGGGTTTGTATACATTAATTATTGATACATTGTGGTCAGTGCTTTGCGAAGGAAGTACAGAGGGAGCACTTGGACACTAATTTTGAGGAGTCTGGCAAAACACCCTGGAATACAACAAACAAGTAAAACCCATAACAAATTGTTATTTCATGTCAAGTAACAATGGCTACATAAAAAAATAAAAGATAAATGTTGAAAAGGGTGTGGGGAAAGTAAATTTTGCACATTGTTGGTGGAAGTAAAAATATTGAATTACTGAAAATAGTATAAACTTTCTTCAAAAAATAAAAATAAAATTACTGTAGAATCTAGCAACCTCATCCCTAGGTATACATCAAAAGAAATGAAATAAATGTTTCAAAAAAAAAAAAAACAAAACAAAAAAACCCTGGAATAAAAGAATGAGAAAGAGGGCCCGGGATTTGTCTCAATGGTTCCGCCATGCACACGCAAGGGCCCGAGTTCAATCCCTGGTACAAAAAAAAAAAAAAAAAAAATCAGAAAGTAGAAACCTTGGAAAAATGAACATTGATAACTGACAAATATTTGTCTTTTTTCACAGTTATACTGTATTTTCCCCTTCTTTCTTTCCAGTGCTGGGAATTGAATCCCACAGCCTTGCCATATGGTAGGCAAGTACTCCACCACTGAGCTACATCCCTAACCCTTATTAATTTCATCAAAGCAGAGAATATGTAATAAAAGTATTGGGCCTAGTAATTCTCAGTTTTCTTATTCTTGTTTTTGTTGTTGGTATTATTTTGTTTTTGAGACAGGGTCTCTATGTGGTTCAGGTTTGCCTTGAACGCACAGCAATCCTCCTGCCTCAACCTCCTAAGAGCTGAGATTGCAGGTGTGTACCATCATGCCCAAAGGTTTTTTTGTTTTGTTTTGTTTTGCAGTACCAAGGAGGGTCAAACTCAGGACCTTGTCTTGCAAGGTAGGTGTGGTACCACTGAGCTAAATCCCTGCCCCCCCAATTTCCTTATTCTAACACATTAAGCCTTCCTTTGGGTATGCTGTGATGAATTAGATGAATTTTATTAGATGCTGTGGAGATATGAGATCACCCTCTTGAATGGTCAAAAAAAGGAAATAATCTCCTTTCATATTACATGGGTTGTATGTTTAATGTATCAGTTTTTTCCTGTTACTCAGTCTAAATAAACTGTTCTTTGGTATTTTTTCTTTGCTGTTTGGCCAAGGGATATCTGCCAGCACATGTAAAAAATTTGTGTCCCTTTGACATTTAAGAATTTTATATTATAGGGGCTGGGGATTTAGCTCAGTGTTTCTGCCGCCTGCCTCGAAAGCGTCAAGGATCTGATGAGTTCTATCCCCGGTACCAAAAAAACAAAAAAAGAGAATTTTATAATATACTTAACAAACTGGGCTTCTTTACTCCATGTGCTGTATTATGACTTAATTCTGAGATCCTTTCAACAAGAACTTTGTCATCTTATAAATGAAGAAGTTGATATTTAGAATTTCCTTTTCACCTGTATACTATGATTATTCACTGAAAAGTAAACCTAAAAAAAGTAAAGGATAACTTCTCTGTTCAGATTCATAAAAAAATGATTACATTTGGAAAAAAGGTGTGGTCTTCCCATGACAGTGTTCTAATAAACACTTCTAATAATGTTAGTCTTGTAATAATCATATTTCATAATTATAGTGTATGTTTTGTATAGTATTTTAGTATGTAGAATTACCTTGTATTTCATATTTCACATGCGATCAGTTATTCTAGGATCCCTCAAGAACATATTTCACTAACCTAATTATAATTAAAATCTTAGTGAACTAATACTTTAACATGACAGTTGATTACAACTATTTTGGTTTTAATAGGTTATTTTGCTCATTCAGAAATACATATATATCAAAACAGCCTTTCAATCATAAATGCTGCTACCTCAACATTTTGGTTTCCTATTTCTATTCTGAAATAATCATAAAGAGTCTACAATAAAAAAGAATGTACAGGGAGATCTGTGTTACCCTTAGCAGTTTCTCCCAATGGCAACATTTTGCACATAGTGCAGTACACATCAGGAAAATTGATGTTGCTACAGTCGTTATTCAGACTTCACTAATTTTATATACACTCATTCATGTGTATTTGTAGTTCTATGCACTTTTGTCATGTGTAGATCTGTATAACCACTGTCAAGATATAGAACTGTTCTGCCACAAGTCTCCATTTATACCACCTAGACAAGCACTGTTAACACAAGCTGCTAGAAATCCTTAGGCACCTTTGTGCTTGCTTATGTATCATTTTCAAACCTTTGGGCTTCTGAAGTTTGTCATAAACTGCAGCCATCCCCTAATCTGTTTTCCATCCCTAATCTTAGCAACCATTAATCTATTCTTTTCTTATTTCAAGAATAACAAATAGGTACCATAAAGCATGTAAATTTTTGATGGGTTTTTTTCATTAAGCGTAACTCCTTTGGGATCCATCTAAATTACTGCATATATCAGTGGGTTTGTTCTGGCCTGAGAGTGTAGCTTAGTGGCAGATCACTTGCCTAGCATGTCCAAAGCCATGGGCTTGATCCTCACCAAGTCACTTTTTATTAATGCATAGTATTCCATATTACCACTTAATCATTTGCTTGTGTGTATGTGTTTGTGTTGTACTGGGGGTAGATCTCCTAGCTAACAAATTAAAATGACTTAATAAAATTATTATTATTGAGCCACATTCTAAAACTAAAGAATTGGACAGGGAATAGTGGTACATGCCTGTAATCCCAGCACTTGGGAGGCTGAGGCAGGAGGACTGCTGCAAGTTCAAGGCCAGCCTGAGCTACACAGTGAGTTCAGTTCAAGACCTACCTTGAACTACATAGCAAGACCCTATCTCAAAAAACCAACACCCGCTCCCCCATATCCCTGAAGAATTCCTGTGGTAGAGGAGTGGAACAAATTCCCTGGGACCTTGTGTAGCCATCTAAACTTGAGAACTGATGCACTTTCCATCTTTGTATTTTAAGGATCTTTTAGGTGTAATGCACATCTATATAACAGATGAATAATTATATAAACTCCAATACAAAGTAGTATGATTTAAAGAGATACAGAGCTATGGGTTTTCAGAACTGGAGAGGAGAGCACAGTAAGACAGATCAAAGAAAGATCGGTAAAATTTTTTTTCATAGTAATTTTTATTATATATACTCAGCTCAGTATCCATAGACTTGTCTATTTAAGGCTGTTCACAAGTATAAACAATGAGTAACACTGTATATTATACACCAGATGAAATACCATTCACTACATGCTAAATCAATTTAAGACTTCAAAATATAATTTTATAATCAGATACTTGATTATTGTCAATTCTTTTTTTTTTTTTTTAACCAGGGATCAAACTTGGGACCTTGCACTTGCGAGGGCAGGTGGCAGAACAACTGAGCTAAATTCCCCCCTCAATTTTAAGCCACCATAATATTTCAGAAGGGTCAGTATACTTAAATTTAAATTTGTAACTTCTTTTAATGCTTTCCAGACACTACTTTTTACATATTGACATTCACATGAAAGAACACATCAATGATCCAAATGCAAATCAGAACTCCAGGCCTTAGTTCAATGTTGTAGCATTTTAAATTAATTAGATAATTAGAAAGCCATGACACATCAACTCTTAAGTGATGAATAGCTTCCTTCATTTTAGCATGACTTAAAAAAATATGAAGTAGTTAATATGTCTTTAAAATATTAAAGTTTTTTACCTTTGTTTATGAATTTTACTTTTGGTTAATACAAATATGCTACTTAATCTCACTCTTTTCACTTTGTGTCTACAAAGAATAAAACTGTCCTCAATCTTCCTAAATTCTTTGTTTTTCAAATAAAGACATTATTTCTCATATATGGTAAGTTATTGAATCAGTTTTAAAGTCAGTAACAAAAGTCACATATTACCATAAATAATGATTAACAACTTCAGTGTTAGATAAGGAATCAGAGCACAAGTACTATCTATATATACATAAGAGGTAGAATTCTTAATCACAGTTTTATAGAAAAGATGCAGTAGTTTGTTTCTGTACCCTGCTTTATTAGTTATGGTCCTACAAGTTTGCTTATGAATTTAACAGAAAGGGCAAAAGGGAGGTCTTTTTGTAAGCATTGATCTTAGTGACCTTTGTTTTGCATGTGTTGCAGGGATTTCTAGCCACCCAAAGCATTTTCTTGGCCAATTAAGATAACTGTTCATATACAGTATTAACCTCACTTTTAAAAAACCTCTAGGAAAACAAGAAATTTACATTTTTCTCACAAGGGCCTTAAAGGAGGAGGCAAATGTTTCTCTGTACCACTCTGAGCATAAATTATAAATATCACATTTCCCTGGGTATCATTATTCCTCAAATTCTCCATCAATATATAGATGGGTTCTATATCCAAATTTTTAATTTGATTGTTTCTAACTCACAATCTATTTATTATATTACAAATGGGTATAACTTTAAAATTGTTTCATTCATAATGAAGTTAATTACTGTTCAAGATTCTACAGACAGTAAACTATGGTTGCAGAGTCTCATGTGTATATGGCTTATTTACGTTAGGTGTTTATAATTTGAGCCTCTGTTTCTAATCTTTCAATGTCAATAAATTGATTAGAAAGATCATTTTATGGAAGTTATATTTACACCCAAAGCTAAACTTTATAGTGGATCTTACATTTCATAAATAGTTCCTGAATAGTTATGAAAGACATTTTGAAACAGTAATTGTAGAAAATAAAGTCAAATACATTTTTTTTTTTCAGTTAACTAGAAATTCCTCATGATTTATTTTAGGATTAGGATTTCATAATGAGCATATCAGATTGCAGATATTTATTTATAGTTCTACTTAAGTAAACTTTATTTTGAATCAGCTGTTCTCAAGTTTACCTCAATTCTTTTTGTGTCTGATAATTTTGAGAACTCAGAAAAAAAAAACATTTATTTACACTGGATCTAGATCCTTTGAGCAGAATTTCCTTCACAATTGCTGGTAATGTGTTATCAAAGTCAATAATCATGTTAAAACTTGCATAACACTATTGACAGATAATATAAAAATAAATTTATTTTATCTCTTTTAATTTTAAAATCCTGTACTTTAGCTATTGTGACTGAATGCATCCTTATGGAAATTGAGCACACTTTATTTATATATCCTCAATTCAGAAAACCTTTAATTACATTTCCTTTCAAAGAGAAAACTTGTCGTAATTTAATGAGAAAATATGCCTTTGCAGTTTGAAGAATTAATAAAGTGTCAGCTTTTGGGAATGTAGGCTAAGTATATAAAATTAATACTTTTTGCTAATATTTTATACTGAAATATATTTTGCTTTAAAAATCTCAAAAATGTTATTTTATTTTAAAGGTATCTATCTTTTAGAAGAGATACATATGTAAATAGAAAAAAGTTGATATATTCAACCCATAATTACATAATTCTCAGTTGATTTATAACTTGATGTATCAAAAATACCTGCAATTTGTAATTACCATCATTACCAAAAAGTATCTAAAAGCAGGTTGTAGAGTATTGCATTTATGCCCAGTATTAATTCATTTAATTCACAAATGGTATTTGTAAAATATTTTCAAACTTAGAAAAATAATTATTAATATGGATTAATTCAATTAAACTTAACATTTTGTAAAATATTCCCATTATACACAAGTATAATGATCAATAAACTAACTTGCACAGAAAGTGAAGATTTTTACATTAAAATTATACTTGTTTTACAATTACTAAGAATGCCTGAAAACATTTTGGAAAAGACTAATGGTCTTGACTATTAATGGTAACAACTTATTGCATTTTTCTGCCTTTTTTTTCAATTTTGTTAAGTAGTTGAGTGTTAAGTTCTACTTTTCCTTTTATCTTCAAATAGACTCTTAAGCATATAAACTTGAATGGCTGACACTACCACCATGACAACTAAATTAACCATAGACCAGAAATTGACTCTATCAAAGTTGCTTTCTTGAATGTTTCGATCACGAGCTTCAAATGCTCTAAGTAGAGTTTGTATATGAACGCTTTTGCTTACTCTGGACTTGATGCTGTTGATGGATTCCTGGAGATAAATAAAATAATTTTACTATTAAAAAATTCAGAAATTTTAAATTAACTTAAAACAAGCTTCATGAGTTTTTTTTTTTTTTTTTAATCCAAATGTAATTTTAGGATGAATGGGGGCACAATTCAGTTAAGGGACAGTATTACTCATATTACTTAAAGAGCCGCTGAAGATAATAAAATAGTTCTCCTGGTATATTTAAATTATCGTTTACAGTTATTTAATAAAGTATAAAGACACTGTGAATAAGAAACTATTTGAGTAGTGTAGTGCCAGGAGTCTCATATACACTATCTTTTTCAGCTCATAAAATCATAAGAAAATGATTACAGCTTTAAAAAATCTGACTGCTTATTACCTTTAGGTATTTACCTATTTTTTAAACGCATTGTGTGTTTATAATGTTTTGTTGTTTGAATGTTAGTCTGACCAATGCAGTATGTAGCAAAATACCAAATGTTGTTTGGTTTTTTTTTTTGGTACTGAGGATCAAACTGAGGACCTTGTGCTTCTGAGGCAGGCGGCAAAACCACTGAGCTAAATCCCTGGCCCAATACCAAATGTTTTTTTTGTTTGTTTTTTTGGTATCGGGGATCAAACTCAGGTCCTTGTGCTTGCAAGTCAGGAAGCAGAACTGCCGAGCTAAATCCCTGGCCCAATACCAAATGTTTTTACCTCACAAAGTATTAGTGAAATCAGAAAATATTTAGTTTTTTATGTAGCCCGTGGGCTATATAGCAATAGTATTTATAATACAAAAATGTTCCGTATAACATTCATAAAACATGACTAGCAAGATGTACTCTAAGTTGCACATTTTCTGGAAAAAATAGAAAACTATGATAGGGTCCTGTATGCTTTAATAGAGCTGTATGAACATAAAGTAAAATTGAGATTTGAATGACATAAAATGCAGATAAAATGTTTAGTTCAATGCCTTTAACATTTAGGCCTCTGGATGTTTATGTTTTATTATTACTTTATTAAAAGATCATACTAACCAGGATGTCTTCCAGTTTCATCTCCAACATATCTGTACCAGTAATGTATTTCTTCCAGTCTTCTTGTTCTTGTGCCTGTTCTCCCATATTATCCAGGATTAATTCAAAGAAAATTACTTTCTCAGAAATGGTGCTGAATGTATTGTCAAAGCAGAACATGTAATCACCAACTTCAGTTTCTACACTGAATTAAAAAAATGCATGTTTTCAGTTATTTGTACATCTATTTGAGATCAAAAGGAAAACAACTACAAGTGAAAGAGAAAAAACATTAATTTCCTTAGTATTAGGAGGTAAATTATAGTTTTGGTGAAGAAGCAATCTGGAAACACATTCAAGTATTTGTAACTTAAACATGTGGCATTTACTTTTTAAATTATCTTATCTAATAATTTTTGGAAGATGATAGGATTAAAAACCTAAATATACCATAACTCATAAGAAATTTTAATATTTATACATTCCTAAAGGAATTTTATCATGAGTTCAGTTCATTATGCTACATGTATGTAGACTACCAATGTACCCTTTGAGATTAATGTGTAATTGTTTCTGTAGTAAATGTTTTCTTCTAGGCCTCCTACTATTTTAAGTACATTTTTTGTAATATATTTTTTGTAATATATTCTACAAAGGTTAAAGATGAGGTCTATACCCAGCAAACTGAACTTTTCAGTTGTATTACCTTTACTGAATAAATGCCATTCAAATAAACTGATCTTTGGTCTTACCACCTCACCATTCAAAATAACTGGCTTGGCCATAGTTGACTCGTTAGTGAAGTAGTTTCCTAAAGATTTTTTTATGGAAATAAGCTGAAACAAGCAAATTACTCTATGATAATGACATTTACTACTGTGGCCCCAAACCAGAAAACAAATAACAGTGTCCTTGAATGAATGGCAAAACCCATTTACATTTCTATAATATATCAATGAAATACCTGTTATCTTTATTCAGTTAATTATTTCACAAGAAACTACTGATACAACTAAAACTGGCCAAAAAAGATTACAAATGAACTGTATAGAAGCCATCATGTTTAGTGAAGTGTTTGAAAATAATATATATATATATATATATATATATATAGTCTCTTTTACACAGTAATAGAGCAACCATAATTTACAAAGAAGCTTTTACAAAATAAATACACTTAATGTGTACATTAAATGACTCTTTCCCGAAATAACAGTGTTACTATATTTTCTAATAAAGTTTTTTACTTGGATTAATGGATTTCTAAACTATTCCAGCTATATTTTAAACTGCTTACCACCTAATTCTATTCAGTATCTTCAAGGTTGGGTTCAACTGGAACTGGGAGATCTAAGCAGTGGGGATGTGGAGTCTGAGCTGCTTGTCTTTTATAGTCCTATATTAAAGTTCTGTTATAGCTCTCTAATATCCAGGACTTCATCATCTTTATTAAGCTAGAAATTAATGTAGGCTTCTTTTGTCTTAGAACATCTTTCCTCTACTTCTCTTTTGTTGACATGCAGAATTATATAATCATGTTTTGCAAGGGGAGGAGGCAAACTGTATTCTTCATGTCAAGATCTTCACTGAACCCAGAGCCAGTTGGACACCTGTTAGTTTTGGGGTAAGTGTGGTATATCAAAGGATGCGGAGCACTGACTATAATTTGTAAGGCCTAAAACAAGCAAACATCCCTCCAACTTTCTAGATTATGCCCTCTATTCTACTGTCCAGTGAATATATGTGAGGAGGTGCAAGCAAATGCTAAATTGAAAGAAAGGTACATATGTGTGCATCTGTGCTCTGGGCCCATTTCTGTCTTCACAGTGTGAAATGAGGACCCAAAGGCCAAGCTACTAAAACCTGGGGTGTGTGTGTGTGTGTGTATGTGTGTGTGACATATGGTGAAATTTTTCTTAAACATGTACCTTTCTTGAATGTCCCGCTAATGCCACATATTTAGTTCAGCAAAGAAAACCTGACTTGTTCCTTTGTTCTAACCTAAGAGCATTGTTTTCTTTTTTCCTTTTGGTACCAGGGATCGAACTTGGGTCCTTGCACCTGCAAGGCAGGTGGCCGCACCGCTGAGCTAAATCTCTGGCCCAAGATCATTGTTTTCTTTTTGGGCATGCCCTCTTAAGAGTTACATATCAATACTCTATCCATTAAAATGTTCAGATCCTTCTGGTTTGCCTCTCTCTAATCACTGTATTTTAACTCTTTAATCTATATTTTAACCATTAATTCATTTTTATGATGTAATTCCATATAATGACTACTAACTTTCCACACTGTATTAGGTCACACTAGAAAAACATATTTCAAATGGTCTTTTCCCATTGCCAATATGTTGACAGAACACTTAAATTTTCAAGAGGGTTGTATTATTTTCTGTGGCCTTCTGAATACATGTAACTCTCATTTTTTAATGTAATCTGTCTCTTTTTATCCTATTTCCAACTTATTGAGTTTTCTTTTTAAGCATAACTCTTTTGTTTAAGAGATAACTATACAATGGTGAATGCTTATTTATGCTTCAAATATAGTAGTAACAGCTAATACTTGTGTAACGCTTTATAATATATACACTGACTTCACATCTTTTCTTTATTTTAATCCTTATCATAATTGGAAGTTGGCATAATTTAACTTTTACAGGTAAATAAAATGAAGTTTAAACAAGTAAAAATATTTTCACATGATCATCACATAATCTGTTAACAGGCATGGATGAAGTTTGATTCCTGATTTTTCTGTTTCAAAGACAGGTTCTCACTATGCAGGTCAGGTTGGCCTTGAAATTACCATGTAGCTGAGGCTGGGCCTCTGGAGTGCTGGGATTACAGGCATGCACCACCATGCCCTGTTCAAGTTAATCTTTCTGTAATACTGCTCAGAACTTGCCCACAATCTTTGCAATCTCAATTATGACAAACTTTTGTCTTTTGGGGATATATTTACCTTAGGGAGGAGCCTGTGCAGATGCTGATGAATATAGTGGGGAACAATTTTAAAAGGTAAAAAACTCTGACATGAATATGAGATAATCTAACCTAGATGTAGGACATTTCCTGAGGAAAATTTTCTATTGCACTCTAATGTATACACTGTTACAATAACTGTTTAACTAGTAAAAATGACTATTCTGAAGGACAACATTTACTCTAAGCCTTCTCAATGAATGTGATACTGCTCAGAAATGGACAAAAAAAAAAAAATCTTAGGTATTAAAATGGTTTGTGGCCTCCAAAGCTCAATTTTATTCCTTAAAATTTAGTTTCTGTCATTGTGTTTTCCTGGTATCTCACAAGTAGCATGAATTCACAGAAAATACACAGTAAGTATGCAGTAATGATGTTATAAAACCATGGTATTCTCATTCATATACCTATCTATTCTATTCTTGGAGGATTCTTCAATTGACTGATTGCTTAATCTTGAAGTTACACTGGAAGAGGTAGTCTATAATATGCGTCTTGACTGACAATGGCTCCCTTGTGGATGATGTTTAATCTTCAAAGATTTTCTGGAGAATTAAAAGTAGTTTACTATTTAATTCTACAGATGTTACTCAATCCATTATTAATTATGGCAAATACTGAAAGAACTTTCAGTATTATCTGAATAACTAGTAGCTAGTTAGAATTAGTTTCCCATGCTGAGAAAAAATTAATTTGACTAAGAATAATTTTTTAAAAAATGCATGTAATTTTAGAATAATTTACTTGTGCTGAAAAATGGAACACTAGATTTTAATTACATTACTAATCTTATGTATTTATAGAAACTGCTATTATGTATAATTGATACATTGCTATATCTGCAAATAAATGCATTAAAAGTTATTCTGAAAAGTTTTTAAACTAAAACTTGCATTTAATATTAATAGTTTCCAATTTTTAAAGTTCTATAACTTGGGACTTAGTTATATATAATTCAAGCCGGGCGTGGGGGGGCACACCTTTAATCTCAGCACTTGGGAGGCGGAGACAGGAGGATTACTGTGAGTTTGAGATCAGCCTAGGCTACATAGTGAGTTCCAGGTCAGTCTCAACTACATAGTGAGACCCTGTCTCAAAAAAATATATATATATATCTATATCTCTATATATAGATAGATATAGATAGATAGATAGATATAGATATATAGTTCAGCTTTACTTAGCAATTCTTAATCTATACAATGAATAAAAAGAACAAACTTTCTATCTGCTGTATTTAAAGTACAGATATACATACAGTATATAAATAAATACGCAGTATATCTGTCTTATTAAAATGTCATGGGGAAAAGTATCTACAAAGGCTCCAAGAGGAAGAAAGTACAAATAGAAAAAAGTTGAAAAACTGACTGAAATATATGAGTTTCAGTGGGCGTATAACAAAAGATTAAGGGGCTAGGGATTTAGCTCAGTGGCACCATGCCTACCTCAAAAGCAAGGTCCTAAATCTGATCCTCAGTACCAAAACAAAACAACAACAACAACAAAAAACCCCACAAAATATAAAACAACTGATTAAGCAGGTATATAAAAACAAAATTCCTTACTATGTTATAGTTATTGCTACATTAATCTCTTTACTAAAGGCTATAGCCTTTAGTAGAATCTATTGCAAGCAATACCAAATATTACATAACTAAAAATGCATAAATTTCTAGTAGAATGAGATAAAAATCTAAAACAAGTTCTAGTAATGTGTTAGAGTAATATTAATTTAGTTGTTTAGAAAAAACTGTATTCATGTATTACTTCTCATTACAGGCATTGGTAGACAAATAGATATTGTTTAAGCTATTATTTCTGTTTGAATATATTAACCTTATTTTACCAGACTTTTTTGTTGTTGTTGTTTTGTTTTGTTTTTTTGAGACAGGATCTCACTGTGTAGTTGGGGTTGAGCTGGAACTCACTATGTAGACCAAGCTGGTCTCGAACTCACAGCGAACCTCCTGCCTCAGCCTCCCAAGTGCTGGAATTACAGGCATACGCCACCACGCCCGGCTTACCAGACATTTAATTCCAAGATCTTCAGAGGAAAAATCTATTTCAGTGCCATAACTGAGATTTTACAAAATCAACATAGCTAAAAATGAGAGTTCTGTTTAAATCCAGTTTTTAGAAATATTTTTAATTTGCTGTAGTGATTAACAGTGAGTTGTACTGCCTAGGTTTAGATACTGGCTTTGCTTTTTACTAGCTGGTAGCCTTCAGCTGTACTCACTTAGCTGTACACTATACCTCATTAGCAAAATGTTATTATATACCTCAGCATTGTGGTGAAGAATAAAATAATTAACACATAAAAAGCATGTACTGCCTTAGCATGTTAAAAGATCTCAATGTGAACTATAATAAACAATTATTTTTTTCTAATGGCTTAGCAAGAGGTAATTCTATAAAAGAAAGTGATAAAATACCCTTTTCCCCCCATTAATTTTGATTTATCTCTAAAGAAAAGCAGATAATGAGGGACCAAAAAAACTGACAAATTTTTTATATTCTGAAACTTAAAGATGAATTATTCTTGTTCATATACCTATCAAAAAGTTAATTTGTAGCATATCAATCTAAAATGACTTTTAAATAACCATTTTCCTATTTATGCAAATATTTTCCTGCATTCTATGTAGGCAAAAAACATTTTAGCTGGGTGTGGTATTGGATGCCTGTAATCCCAGCACTTCGGGAGGCTAAGCCAGAAGGATTGTAAATTTGAGCTCATCCTGGACAACTCTGTCTTAGTGAGATCTTACCGCAGAATAAAAGAGGGTTGGGGATGTAGCTCAGTGTGAAAGCCTTGGGTTCAATGCCCAGTTCACCAAAAAATCTATTTTAAATTAGTATTCTAAAAATATATGGTTGAGACTATTCCCCCCTCATTCATATATTTAGTTTTTACTCAGTATCAGTTACATGCCAGGCACTTTGGTTAACAAAAACCAATAATTATAATAATAGTACTTACAGTAGTGCTATGTGCCAGGGATGTTCTGAGCATCATATGGTAGCAAGCAAGAGTTTTGGTTCATCCTGTCTCCGCCCTGAATGTGTATCCCTGCAGACTTATTTAACATTTCTGAGTGTCCTTGTCTGTAAAATGGGGATTTGGAATCAAAGAATCTATCCTGTATTTGGAAGGATTGACTTAGAAGCATATGATATGCCAAACTTAGTTTATGACAAATAATATACTCTGAATTTACTCATCTTCCTATTGTAAACTCAGTTTAGTTTTAACATTAATATTGACTAAAGAATGTGCTATATCCCAGTACTTGGGAGGCTGAGGTAGAAGGACTGCTGTGAATTTGAGGCCAACCTGGGATATATAATGAGTTCCATGCCTGCACTATATAGCGAGACCCTGTCTCAAAAAAAAAAGAACGTGTTATAATGAAAGAGAATGGGACAGGGAAACACTAGTGAGATAAGTGACATGTAAGAAGACATGGTGTAACTTTTTGTCAAACTTTGAACCCAAAGAGAGGTAAGTTTTTTTTTCTATATGGTTTCCTATGGTCAGAAATGTTACATATACAAAGATCTATTGTAATCTTTTTTTCAAGAAAGAAGAATATGAATAAAATTGATACAGCCAGCAGTTTAATAAATCTTTAAGATAATAACCTGTAACAATACTTTTTATTTAAAATGGAAAGCCTGTGCTAGCCAGAAAGGCAGGTGTGAAATGCCATAATAAATTGAATACAATACCTACTAGGGAATAGTAATGTATTAAAGCAAAGAAAAAATGTAATCAAGATCAAAACAAAATGCCTAAAAAAGAAAATTAACTGGTTATACAACTGAGGAGGCTGAAGCAGGAGGATTCTTTGAGCCCAGAGATTCAAGTACAGCTGGGGCAATATAGCAAGTCTTTTTCTCAAGAAAGAAGTTAAAATGTAATATGTTTTAGTTTAGAAGATGACCCACCATCAAAGACTTTACAATTATTTGGAATTTTCTAATATTGGCTCTACTAAACTTCCCTGCCCTGCACATAGTTCTTTAGCCCAAAACCCAACTTACGTGTGAACTCCATCTGATTTTCTTTGTTCAAAAACTAAAGTTTTGCCTTCTGGAGAGGCAAGATGGAAATCAATATCTAATCCTGCTCCATCTAAAACCTGCAGAAGAGCACACAAGAAAAAAATAAGCATTATAAATTCTGAAAAATTATAAAGTAGATCAAATGATTTTTTTTTTTCTGAACCTAGTGGGGTAAGAAAGCCACCAGAGTTATGGACGGGCAAGAAAGGAGTTGAAACTTGGCTCTTCCTTACCCATTCCTGTTGCTATCACCTGAATTTAGGCATTGTGGATGCATTAAAAATACACTTTCCTAAAACAGAGCTTTCATTGAGGAGCCTTGCAGAGTATAGAGTAATACACACAGCAGTTTAAATCTGATGCTAGTTCTTTTACTTCATATTTAAGCAGCTTAAGACATGCTATATACATTTTTTAGTTTGTTTCAATAAACAAATAATAATTAGCTACCTTTTTAGCTGGCATCTCAGGCCTTTATGATCTAACTCCAACTGACTTCTTGAACACTTTATAAATTGTGTACTCCAATCAGGCCAGTCTACTTACTGGCCAGTAAATATGATTTGTTCCTGTATAATTCCAAAATATCCTTATACAGATGATAACAGCAGATCACAATTACAGATTATGTTATACATTGTTTTAAAGCGCTTTAGCTTTATGTAGATTAACTTATTCCTTTAAAACTCTAGAAGGTAGGAGCTGGGCGTGGTGGCGCATGCCTGTAATCCCAGCACTTGGGAGGCTAAGGCAGGAGAATCGCTGTGAGTTCAAGACCAGCCTAGGCTACATAGTGAGTTCCAGGTCAGTCTCAACTACATAGTGAGACCCTGTAGCAAAAAAAAAAAAAAAATGTTTTTGTTAAATAAAATAAAAATAAAGAGAAAACATACAAATAAATCTCTAGTTTCAATCACCAGTATAACCAGAAGAACAAACAAAACCAAAAAACTGTGATGCTAGGTTATACTTCAAAAACAATCTTTTCAACTGCGTGACCAGGGAAACAAACATAAAAAAATTAAAATCAAAGTGGCAAATAGAATTTTTCAAGGGGTTAGTTTGTTCACTACATTTACTCTGGAATCTGAAGTTTAATACACCCACGAGGATGGGATAAAACTATGAAAATGAATTATGTAGGGAGGAAGACATGAGAACTATTCATAATAACTGGGCTCTCTGAAGAATCAAAGCATCAGTAAAAGAGTGAAATTAGGGCTAGGGATTTAGCTCAGTGGCACTGCACCTGCCTTGCAAGCACAAGGTCCTGAAAAAAGAGTGAAATTAAAAGCCAGGCATGGTGAGAACCGGGGATTTAGCTCAGTGGTGCCGCCGCCTGCCCTGCAAGTGCAAAGACCAGAGTTTGATCCCAGGTACCAAAAAATAAATAAATAAATAAAATAAATAAAAATAAAAACAAAACAAAACAAAAAAACCAAAAGGCAGGCATGGTGGTACATACTTGTAATACCAGCAGTTGTGAGGCTGAGGCAAGAGGATTGCAAATTTGAGCCTAGTTTCAGATCTTTTTTCAAAATTTAAAAAAGAAAAAATTTAAAAGGGGCTAGAGCTGAAGCTCAGTGCCAAAGCCTTGGTTTCAATCCCCAGTACCTTTGGTCCTCTACAGAAGGTCTGAAAACAAACATACATAAACAGTGGGAAATTAGTAATCCATGTGCAGAAGAATGAAACTAGGCCCATTTCTTTCATGCTGTACATAAATCAAAATGGATCAAAGACTTAGACATTAAAAATGCTGGAAGATTACATAGGGCAGTGGTGGCAAACCGATAGCACATGTGCTGCAGTGGGCTGTTTATCACTAAAATCACTAGAAGGTTCACCATCATTGACATAGGGGAACACTTGAATCCATACACACAGCAAGGGCTTCCTGAACAGAACTCCAATAGCACAAGAAATAATTCCAAGAATCAACAAATGAGATTACATTAAAAAGTTTCTGGGTCTAGGGATTTGGCTCAGTGGTTTCACCACCGGCCTTGCAAGCTTAAAGACCCGAGTTTGATCCCCAGTACGGGGGCGGGAAGGGGGGGAGTTTCTGCATACCAAAAGAAATGGAATGAAGAGACAACCTTCAGAATGGGAAACATTGAGCCAGGTGTGGTGGTGCACACCTGTAATCCCAGCACTTGGGAGGCTGAGGCAGGAGGATTGCTATGAGTTCAAGACCAGCCTGGGCTACAAAGTGAGTTCCAGGTCAGTCTCTACATAGTGAGACCCTGTCTCCAAAACCAAAAACAAACAAACAAAAAAAGAATGGGAAAAATTGTTGCTAGCTACTCTTCTGATATAGGATTAATATCTAGAATGTACATATAGAAATAAAAATCCCTCACAAAACAAACCCAGTTTAAAAAAAAATAGACAAATGAACTAAACAGATACTGATGGCTAATAAGTACATGCAAAAATGTTCATCATCATTAGCCATTAGAGAAATACAAATTAATGCTGAGATTCCCTCTTACTCCAGTCAAAATGGCTATCAAGAACACAAATAAAAATGCTGTGAGGGCCGGGCATGGTGGCGTAGGCCTGTAATCCCAGCACTCGGGAGTCTGAGACAGGAGGATCGCTGTGAGTTCAAGGCCAGCCTGGGCTACATAGAGAGTTCCAGGTAGACTACATAGTGAGGCCCTGTCTCAAAAAAAAAAAAAAAAAAAAAAATGGCCCTTTATAAAAAAAAAAAAAAAAAAAAAAAAAAAAATGCTGTGAGGATGTGTGGGGGAAAAAATGAACATTTCAACATATTGGTACTATGTAAACTACTACAGCCACTTTACAAATCAGTATGGAGATTCCTAAAAAAATTAAAAATAAAAATTCCATTTGCTCTAGCAATACCACTCCTGGACATATTTCCCAATCTCATACATATCTATGTTTATAGGAGCACAGCTCACAATAGCTAAGCTTCAGAAATAGCCTAGATGCCTATGATAGTTAATTGTGGTGCCAAGTTGAACAAGAAACTCCTAGCAGATTAGCACAGTTCTAGGTGTGTCTGGAGGATTGCCTTACAAGAGAGGGAAGGCCTACTCCGGATGTCGTTGGCACCAAACAACAGGCTTGCAGCCTGGATGGAATAAAAAGGGAAAGAAGAAGGAAGTCTTGCTTTTTGCTTTTTTGGAGGGAGCTCCAGTCTTCATTGCCTTTTGATGTCCATCTTTAAGCTTCCAGCACAGAAACTTCACTTTCTAAGCACAATGTGCAACCTACCATCACAGACCTTTGGGCTTCCCCATATAGACTTGCACCTACTCTGCAGTGAGTTCCAGGCCTTCAACTTTTGACTGGTCCTCTGGCTTTCCAGCACACAGGTGGGTCTCCATCCCAACTCTGCAGACAGCCTTTGTAAGCCTACCTTGTAAATCCTTTATATACTATCCAGGTAGTAGACAGGTAGTAGATAGATAGTAGATATATGTATTACACACAGACACACACACACACACACACACACACACACACACAATCTGTTCCTCTAGTGAACCCTAACTTACCATGTCCAAATGTGATACATGTATATATATATATATATATATATATATATGATGGAATTTTATTCTGCCTTAAAAAAATAAAATTGTGTCATTTACAGGAAAATTGATGTAACTTGAGACCATAATGTTCGATGAAATAAGACACAGAAAATTAAATATCACTCAGGCTTATACACTTGTCATAGAATTATACTTGTACATTTACCTTGAAATAATTTGATTGTCAGTTTCTATATTTGATTGTATGAGGGCATGAATTAAATTTTTACTCACCATTGTATCCATAGCACCTAGGACAGTGCTAGGGACTCAACATTCAACAATGATTTAAATTTTAAATGAACAATTTATTTTATTCATAAGATATTACATAATGGTATTAAAAACATTCAAGAACTTGTATCAATGTAATGGTGGGCTGGTCAGTTACCCAAAAAGAGTTCTGCTAAAACCTAATAAGTAGGGCCAAGGATTTGGCTCCCTCACAAGTGCAAGGGTAAAAGTTCGATACCCCCAAAAAAAGTTGTACCAAAAAGAAAAAAAAAAAAAAAAAAAAAAGCCAGGAGTGGTGGCGCACACCTGTAATCCCAGCACTCGGGAGGCTGAGGCAAGAGGATTGCTGTGAGTTCAAGACCAGCCTGAGCTACATAGTGAGTTCCAGGTCAGTCTCAACTACATAGTGAGACCCTGTCTCAAAAAAAAAAAAAAAAAAAAAAAAAAAAAAAAAATCAAAAGAAGAAAAAGAGAAAGAAAACCTAAAAAGTGAAAAAAATGATAAAAATTTCAATAAGCTAGAAATGTAGCTCAGTGGTGGATTGCTTGCCATTAATACTCATGAGGCCATGTGTTTGACCTCCAGCATTGGGGAAAAAAATTCAACATGTCATAGCAATCAAGAGCAATGTTAAGAATATCTAATCAATAATATTGTAAAAACTAATGTTAGGACTCAAAATGATACTCCACAGTAAAGACCTCAGGAACAGTTTGTCTCTGTCTTTTCTCTTCCCATCTCTTACCCCTGTTCCTCTCTGTAAGCAAACCATACAAACTTTTACCCAAAGTGAGTCATAGAAACCATAACCTCTTTTTCCCTAAAACTAGCCATAAAACAAAAATATTGCTATAATTTTCCTCTGCCTTTCCATGTAACAGTTGTCTATAAAGAAATTCTCTGATACACTTTACTGGATTATAAATCATAAGACTCCCACTCTAGAAATGACCTTGCTCCATCCCCAGAAGGAAGAAATGCTTCACAGAGCTGAAGAAAAATCTAACAACGACACCTTGCTGGATTTCCCCTCTCAATCTATTTGTATGAGACCATACCCTTTTTGTTCAATTATACTTCTACAGGGCTATCCATACTTCATCGAATAAGAATATAAGCATAAATACAGATTGTACTCCCTACGGGTCAGTCTTTGGGTCTTCAATCTGAAGGCTCCTGTATTATATGAAACTATAATCACATAAATTTGTTTTACCTTTTCTCCTATTGAGCTGTCAGTTCATTTCAATGAAAGTAGAGGGCAGCAAGAACATTTTCTTCATTTCTACCCTAACTTTAAGACAAGCAGTTATTAAAATATTAATCATGGGGCTAGAAAATATAAACAAAGGGTTGAAAATAATCATCATCCTACAAATCTCTTCAACAGTAAGATTAAAGATATTAGGATCTGGGTGTTTGGCTCAGTGGTTCCGCCGCCTGCCTCGCAAGTACAAGAGCTCAAGTTCGATACCTGGTACCAAAAACAACAACAACAACAAAAACAAATGTAGGGAGAATGCTTTGGAGGAACAACAACAGCAACAGAAATCATGGGCTGGGGATTTAGCTCAGTGGCGCTGCGCATGCCTTGCAGTGCAAGGTCCTGTGTTCAAATCCTGGTACTGCCCCCCCTAAAATTAAGAGTCAACTAAAGATGCAAAGTATAAAGCTAAAGCATACTGAGATCATATCAAATTAAAAAGCTTCTGCATGGCAAAGGAAATAACCAACAAAGAGAAAAGATAACCGACAGGAGAGAAAATTTTTGCTATTTGGACAAAAGACTAATATTTAGAATATATAAGAACTCAAAAAAATCAGACAGCCCCCAAGATGATGAATCAAAAATGGGCAACTGAAAGGAACAGACACTTCTCAGAAAAATACAAATGGCCAATAAATACAGTACATGAAAGAATGCTCAACATCTCTAGCTATTAGAGAAATGCAAACTTAAAACAGATGCCATTTTACTCTAGAAAGAATGGCTATTATCAGATAACTACAAATGCTGATGAGGTGAGGGGGGTCTCCTTCTGCATGTTGGTGGGAATATATTATGGAAATTAGTATAAAGTTCTTCAAAAAAACTAAAACAGGAAATTCCATTTGACTCAGCTCTTCCCCTTCTAGGTATCTACCTGAAAGAGTAAAAGGCATCATATCACAGGGATCCATGCGTGCTCATGTTTGCAGAAGCACAATTCACAACAGCTAAATCCTGGTGGTGGCCTAATGTCCACTGACAGATAAATATTTTTTTTTAATGTAGTATTATACACAATGGAGTACTACTCTGCTATAAAGAAGGATAAACTTGAGTCATTTGTAGGTAAATGGATATACTTTGACAACATGTTAAGTGAAATAAGTCACACATAAGCTTAAAAACTGCAAGGGTTTCTCTTATATGAGAAACCCAAAATATAAATTAAAAGCAAAATAAATGATAATTGGAAATAGTGAGGTAGATCTTTTGTATATGGGAAGGCGATGAAGAGATGGAGGGAGAAGAGAGGGAGAGGAGGGGAAGGGGATTACAAAAAAAGAATTAAGATGTGTTATACACATGTACCAATGCCCCACAAGGAATGGATCATTATGTACCACAAACATGTACTAATAAAAAAAATTAAAGACCAGGGATTTAGCTCAGTGGTGCCACTGCCTGCCTGTAAGCGCAAGGTCCTGAGTTTGATCCCTGGTCCCCTCCCAAATCTACCTTTCAATGCCCACCATCCTGGCACACACAAGTAAACCTGGCGTTCCAGAGGCTGAAGTAGGATTCCAAGTTCAAGGCTACCCATGACTACACAGGGAGATCCTGTCTCAAAAAACAAAACATAACTACCTTTACATGGTACCAAGCAATCTGCTTTAAAAAAAAATGTATATATATGTATTTGGTACCGGGGGTCGAACTCAGGTCCTTGTGCTTGCAAGGCAGTCAGCAGAACCACTGAGCTAAATCTCTGGCCCCAATCTGCTTAAATCTTAAATGGTGTCCATCTGTATGTCTAAGATGACCAAGGTTTTGGGTCTCCCCAATTTTGTTTTCTCTTAATCCTACAGACTTAAAAATCTGGTACAGCCAGGCATGGTGGTGCACACCTGTAATCCCAGCACTCAGGAGGCTGAGGCAGGAGGATCGATGTGAGTTTGAGACCAACCTGGGCTACACAGTGAGTTCCAGGGCAGTCTGAACTACATAGTGAGACCCTGTCCCAAAAAATAACAACAACAAAAAAAAAACCCAACCAAACAAACAAAAAGATCTGGTACAGACTTAAAAATCTATGCTGGGTGACTTAGAATTTGGGAGGCTGAGTCAGAAGGATTGCTGAGTCCAAGGCCAGCCTGAATTATAAGATAGCAAGACTCTGTCTCAAAAAATAAATTTAAAAAAATATAATAAAACTTAGTATTAATAGTGCACATTATATACACACCTACAAAATTTCAGAATTATGTGTCTATTCATTTTGTCCACGTTCCTGAAATACCCCTCATTTCTTGCATTTCTGTCTCATTAAAGCATCTTTCAGATTTAATTTTATTTTCTTTGTAATTCTCTTATGAAACCCAGAAGGGGCCCTCCTCTGACAGCACTTAACCATACTTTATTGAAGTTACACTACCTGTTTATGAATCAGTAACTCAAGTTTCTTTGAGAACAAGGGCTATTTCTTTTTCTTCTATTTGCTCCCTCCCTTACAGCATCCCAGGCATAAATTAAATGTCCAACCCAGCTCCTGCTGGTGATGAACCCAGGTGAGCAAGGGCTACTATCACATAGTCACACATCCCCAGGATTTAAGTGCTGAGCTTCTGAACACTCCTGAAAATCAAGAAATGTTAAGTTCTAAGAAGAAAAAAAAAGAAATGTTAAGTTCTAGCCTCAGTTTTGCTGTCATTTTATTTTATTTTTTTGGTTTTTGGAGACAGGGCTTCACTATATAGTTGAGACTGACCTGGAACTCACTGTGTAGCCCAGGTTGGTCTCGAACTCACAGTGATCCTCCTGCCTCAGCCTCCCGAGTGCTGGGATTACAGGCATGCACTACCATGCCCGGCTTGCTGTCATTTTAGATGCTTTACTTCTGTGCTTACCTTATGTATCTATAATTCTACAATTTCTCTGGATAAAAATTCTACATAACTTTTAATTTTCCTCTATATATAATAGTACCCGGTATTTTAAAACATTCTTTACATTAGTTTCAAAACATAATATTTGATTATAAACTAACCAGAAAAAAATGGAAAATAAACCACACCAACGCCCCTTTTTTGCAGTGCTACTGGGAAACGTATTTGGCAGTATGGAACTGATGAGATGTGTTCTAAGTAGCGGGGGGAACAGGCTTGTAATGCCAGCACTCTGGGTAGCTGAGGCAAATTTAAGCCCAATCTGGACAACGCTGTCTCAAAATAAAAAATGGGCTGGGGATGTAGCTCAGTGAGGTGGCCCTGGACTGACTCCTCAGTACTACTAAATAAATAAAATAGGATGTCTTGTAAGAAACTGCCCCCTACCCGAATGACTATATAAACCCATGCAATTTATTATAATAGAGTATCATGCAGATATCAAAACAACACAGGGAAATGCTGACAACGTCCGATAAAATAAAGGGTACAAAGTTTTAATATATGTATGATCTGATTATATTTGATTTGAAAGAATGGATATAATACTGGGACGGAAATTTACCAATAAATATGGCAATAGAACCTTCCAATATATTTTAAAATCAAACAGTGATAATCACATGGTCACAATTCAAAAATTCTTAACTGAAATAAAGACAGTGAAGGTTTATAATATCGGAATTGGGTGAAAGTAGTGGTGACTCAACGAAGTGTCATCACTTCGTCCAATGATAAAGGAGAACGTATTGCAGTCTTGTATTGTGAAATTCTCAGTACTGGAGTGTAGAATGGGTAAAACAGCAATTGGTGAAGAAAGAAAAAGTCACCGACCTCACCAGTTCTGGCCTCTTTCCGACCGGAGAAAAGGGAAGAGGGCGGACAGTAGTCAATCGCAGGGCCAGGCAAACTTCTCTGTCCCGGGTCCCCTGGCCCGGCCAGAGCCTCGCCTCGCGCGCGCCTGCGCGGACCAGGCCGGCGGCCCCCTGGCCCCTTCACTTCCCCCGCGGTCCAGGAGAAGTTGCGCCGCGAGTGCGACGAGGTGCAGCCAGGCTAAAGGAAGGGGGCGGGCTCACGCTCCCCACTTACTTGGTACTCGATCTCCAGCGAGGCCTTCAGCGGCATGGGCTGGTAGAAACACTCCTTCTGGCCGGCCGGAAGGGTAAAGGTAAAGTCGCTGTCTAAGGAAGGCGCGAAGCCGGCCGCCCCCGGCAGCGGCTCTAGGGGCAAAGCGACCAGGAGGAACAAGGGGAAGGGCAGCCACATTTTGTCGCCCATCCTAGCCGGGGCAATATCGGGCAGAAGGCCGTGTGAAGATGTGGGACACCGGCGCCTCGGCTCCGCTTTTCCTCCCTGAACTCTGCGGCAGGGGAGCCCTGAGTCTAAGAAAACTTTAAGTGGCGGCCGCAGTAGCAGCAGCGGCGGCGGCGGCAAATGATGTCCTCCTCCGAAGGGTAGAGACTGAAGGCGGAGCCAGCGGTCCCTTTCCGCACCCTGCTCAGTCTTGGCCTCTTACCGCCGAGCGTGAGCACCGCCCGTCTCACACTCACTTGGCCGCAGGTTCCCACGGCTTCCCGTACACCAATGGGCGTCGCGGCCTTAGCTATGGGAAATGTAGTCCTGAGAGAGGTCGGAGATTCCCAACGGCTCCCGAGGCGGCTCGAGCTCCGCGCCGCCGGCGTTCGCTGGTTCTCAGCCCTCGTGTGTCTGAGGCTTCCACGCCGTAGCCCGGGAGAGGGTCCCAGCGCAGACGAGTCTCGCCGTGCGCCGTCGTCTGGTGGGTCTCTCCCCAGCTGGGGTGGGTGGTGAGGGAATGCCCCTTGGCGGGTGGAAACCGGCACGCCGCGGGGAGTTTTCTTTCTTTCTCTAAAGTACCTTTCGCCGCTTGGCTTGGACCTCGCTCTTGCTGCACTTAGGCGATTCAGGGTTGTAATTTATTTGCGGAAAAACCCGAGAGGAGATTGTCAGCTTTTGCTCCAACTCTCTTAGATGGCTATAAGATCGACTGTGGCATCTAGGAAGTCTTTTTTCGACTACAGCCCAGCCTGTCACATCCTGAGGGTATAAAGGATACTGTGCCCGTCCTTCGAAGGGTGAGTGTACGTCTGTACTCCTACAAACGAATTGTTGACTGAGCCTAAAACATGACGTCAGATAGACGATGTGCCTTTTCGCGTCTGTACAAGCAATGAAGATACCCCGACTCCCGTGCCCCAAGTAGTGGAGACTGAACCCATTTTCTTCGAACAAGTCACTGAATTGCCCTGGCTGGGCTGGACTTTGCTATCTTCCTGCCTCAGTCTCCCAGAGTGCTGGGATTGTCGTCACGCCTGCCTAAGATAGTTTTTTTTTTTTTTTTTTTTTTGGTAACAACTGTAAATTGTAATGAGCAAACTTAGTAAATAACTCAGAAGAAAAATGAAAATATTTGAATATGGAATATATTCATTGCTACTTCAGAAGAGTTACAAAATTCTTACATGAAAGTACACAGATGTTGAACATAAAACCTCATTTAGATGAAATACACAGTACTGAGCGACATTTGAAACTATCCAACTACACCGTTCTTTAGCTTTATCTCCTATAGGAAGCTAGAGATAGAGCAAAATAGGTACCTGATCCATTGACTTTTATCTGGGAGTCTTATTTAAACTGAAGCAAATTTGTGTAAACAAAGGAGGAACGGGATAGAGTCTGCTAAGATTACAAAGCATCTCATTTAATTTCTTGCCTCAGCTTTTTTGAGTAAGGCGAGGGTTTTGTTTTTAACCTTAAATCCTACTTAGGAAACGTTGAGAGGGAAGTAAACGTGGCAAACTTTCTCAGCCAGATGAAAGGAGAAAAAGGCATTTTCTTGTATATCATTTATTCGTCGAAGATAATGAGTTTTCAGTGGTTCTACCACCTGCCTTGCAAGCGGAAGGACCTGAGTTCAATCCCCAGTACCAAAAAAATAAAAAAGAAATGAAAGGAAAATACTGAGTCTTTCTAAGTACATTACAGTCCTGAACACATGACATAGGAGTGCTGGCATCTTTGGAGATTGGGCTGTGGTCATAGTTTTAAGAAATCTGAAAAGAGGAATGAAGTAGACTATACTGGAAGATTTGTAAGAGTAGTAGAGATTCTAAAGATTTAGTTCTTTATTTTGATAATTATTACAAAATGCCCCTTAACGTTTTTTTTTTTTTTTTTTGGTACTGGGGATTTAACTCAGGACCTTGTGCTTGCCCAGGCACGACGCCACTGAGCTAAATCCCCAGCCCCCCAACATGGGTTTTTTATGTGCAAAGGGATTTAGTGGTTTCATAATCCTGGAGATACTCCTCAGTTGAAGAAACAAAAGCTTCATATAGTAGTTCAACAGTTGAATTGCCAAATGTCATTTTGCTCTTTGGTTATGACTTGCGGGTGTGTGTATGTGTTTAATTTTATAACCATTTTGAGTGTTGCATGCCTGTAATTGCAGCTACTCCCAGCTACCCAGAAGTCATGTCATGTCACAAGTTTGAGACCCTCCTGAGTACCCTGTCACAAAGCAAAAAAGGGTACCTCAGTGTTATACTCTGCTGAATTCAGTCCTCAGTATTGGAAAACAAAAAAACACCTTATTGAAATTGACCTCTTCTTTGTTGTTTTAACCACCACAAAAGTTGTCACATTTGGAATAGAAAAATAATGAGTTAAATTTTTATTACTGTGAGAATATTTTGACTATATTATGGAATATCTCAGGTAAGATACAAGAAATTAATTTTTTTTTAAGAAATGGAATCAGGTTCATCATCCTGTTATAATAAAGACAATGAAGAAGAAAGTTTGCTTGCAGATGTTGCGTCATTAAGACATGAACTGAAGATAACAGAATGGAGTTTGCAGAATTTATGGCAAGAGTTATCCAGGTAAGTAAGTAAAATTATGTACAGAATTCATAGTATGACTTTAACTTATAAGTATAAAATGTTTAGATTTAATTGTTTTATGTGCCTCTGGAATAAGATGTAGTTTTCTTTTTCTTTTTTGGGGGAAGGGTACCGGGTCCTTGCTCTTGTGAGGCAGGTGGCAGAACCACTGAGCCAAATCCCCGGCCCCTAACATGTAGTTTTCTGTATTTTATTTTTTTATATTTTTGTGGTACTGGAGATTAAACCCAGGGCTGTCAGTCTTCCTGTGACCACTTGACAGACAACTCAAAGGAGCAAAATTTATTATGGCTCTAGGTTTCAGAGGTTTCAGTCCATGGTCTGCTAGCTCCAGGACAGAAGCATTATAACAGGAGGGCATGGCAGAGAAAAGTTGCTTACCTCATGGCAGCCAGGAAGCTGAGACAGCAAGAGAACAGGAGCTAGTTTAAGAAACTAGAGATGAATCTATCCTTCAGAGGCACAAGTGACTTCTTCCAACTGGGGCCCACCTCCTAATAGCTCATTTGGCCCTCATGATTTAGGTGCCTCTGTAGGCACTACTTCTAAATATTACTACATTGTGATCAAGCCTTCAAAACATAAAAATCTTTGGGGACACTTCATATTTAAACCATAAAATCACTGAGCTACATTCTCAGACCTACTTATTTGTATTTTGAGATAGGGTCTTGCTAAGTTACACAGTCTGTTCTTGAACTAAATATCCTCCTTTGTTAGCCTCTGGAGTAGCTAGGATTACATGCACATGATACCATGCCTGTCAATTTTCAATACTTTTGATCCTAAATTAAAGAAAAAAACAAAAAGCAGGAATACCCGAGAATCACTTACATATTAAGAAAACACCCATAATATATTAGGAATCAGTATAAAATATACACTTGAGGCATTATTAATCATAATTGCTATGACTGCATTTAGAATCCTAAGTAACCCTAGCATAGAGGCTCAGTAAATACATTGATCGCTAGTTTAAAACTATGGTTTATTCTCAGGCATGGTTGTGCATCCCTATAATCCCAGTACTCGGGAGGCTGAGGTAGGAGAATTGCCATGAGTTTAAGGTCAGCCTGGGCTACACTGTGTATTCAATACAAGCCTAAGCTACACAGTGTGACCCTTTCTCAAAACAAAAAAAATCCACAAAAAATAAAACTATATTTCACTTATGTTCATAACTATGGGTCTAATTGTCAACATCATTTTTTTCTATTATCTTATTTACTATATAGAAATTTGTAGTGAATACTTATATTAAAAACTAAAATGTATTTTTTCTTCTTTCTCTAGTGCTAGTCCAAGTGAAAATTCCGATTTTGCCTCTAATCCTTCAAGGTTTGGAAAATTTATTTTGGAAGATCTTATTCAGCCTAGCCACCCAGGACTTTTGAATTGCTCACCTTATAAAAACATTTGTAAAATGTCCAGTAGCAGCTCTGATTTTCAGAAAAAGCCAAGAGATAAGGTTATTGTTTTTAGAGTTAATTTAAAATAGTTTTAATGTTAGACAGGTCTATTTAAAATGCTTTTCTTTGAGTTTTGCTTTAAATGTCTTATTCATGTTTTCTATAGTCTTTTTCTGTATTGTTCAAGAATTAAAATGTAATTGTTCTGTTCATGTCCTAACAAAAACATAATTATTTTGAAGTATTCTGTAAGTTTTTACAATTTATTAAATACTCTCATGGAAAATTTGTACAATCACTGCAGACATATATTGCAGAATCTTTACTCCTTTGGCCTTTTGCCAGTACCAATATTGGCCTTTGCAGTCCCTCTAACTTTCTTCATTCTGTTGCTGCATTCCTTTCACTGCTTTCTTGAGGTCTTTTTCTTCTCTTACAGGCCATGCTTGCAAGTTCATATTTGGGTTCATTTTTCTTTGCATAATCCAAGGAATCATAAATTGTGCCAAAGCCAGTTATCTTGCCACCACCAAAATGGATTTTGAATCCAAATACAAAAATGACATCTGGGGGCCAGGGATTTAGCTCAGTGGTTCCACTGCCTTGCCTTAGAAGCATAATGTCCTGAGTTCGATCCCTAGTACAAAATAATGACATCTGGTGTGGTCTTTTACCTTTTTCGAATTTCTGTCTTGGGTACTATTGCTTTCCTAGGGTGAAGGCTATCCGTGATCATTTGTTTCCTTTGAAGTAGTCAATTGGTCATGAACTTCCTCGTCCTGATAGTTACCATGTCATTCATGATGACAGCAGATCCTCAGGCAGCTAGTGATGACCAACTATTTTGTTTTTAAACTTATATATTTATTGTTGTTTTGCACTTAAATAATATCCTTTTCTCAAGTAAATTTAAATCCCCTGATTTTAGCATTATGCTCTGAAAATATTAGGTGATCAGTTATTTATTAATTAAAGTATATCTATCATTTAGCTTGAGTCAGCTGCTATGTGGACTTGTCTCTTTCAGTACCCCTAAGATTGTCAGTGATATTAGAGATGGCTTCTTGCTCTGGAACTCTTTTCCTCTTATTGTGTCATATTATCTATCTCCCTGTGTTTATCTCTCTTCCTCTCTCTCTCTCCCTCTCTCTCTCTTTTTCTTTTTTTTTTGTAACAAAGTCTTGCTGTGTGGTCCAGGCTAGCCTTGAACTGTGTGCCCTAGGTGGTCCTCGATCTCAAAGTCCTCTGGCTTGTGCCTTCTAAGTGGTAGGATTACATACATGTGCCACAACCTGG